AGTCACAGATATTCAAGAGCTAATTGAAGGGAGCCTGTGGAGATATGTCAGATCAGGCGACAATCCTGCCGACGACATCACTCGAGGATTACGGCTCTTGCAGCTCACCTCTCATCATCGGTGGCGCCGGGGCCCACCTTTTCTCTGGCAGGCGGCATCATACTACCCAGAGCTCCCGAACCACGTTTCCCTTGATGATTCATCAGAGCTGCGGAAGGAGAGCTTCTGTGGGAACATCACCAGAATACCTGATCCACATTTACCTGATGTTGGTTCTTTCAGTGGCTTCCAGGCCTTGCTGGAAGCTTACGTTCGAGCCGTCCATGGGACAGCTGCTGACTCGACACCCACAGCAGAGGATTACAGGAAAGCAGAGTTACCACTGCTCCGGAAGGTACAGGAAGACAGTTTCCCTGAAGATTTTGTTTGGCTATCATCTCACAAACTGGTAGCTGCCAGCAGTCGCCTACTTGCCTTAGCTCCTGAGTATGACCCAGAGGCTCAACTGATTCGTGTAGGGGGGTGGCTTCGCAGATGTGAAACACTCAGTCAAGACATCTTGCATCCTGTCATTCTTGACCCTCAGCATCCTATCACAAAGCTCATCATCCAGGATTGTGATCGCCAGCTTGCTCACTCGGGCTCCAAGAGAGTCTTTGCTGAGCTCCGGCGCAGATTCTGGATACTTCGAGGACAAGAGGCCGTCCGGAAGCACCAGTACAACTGTCCTGAATGCAGGAGGTGGCGCAGCCAGCCGGTCATTCCCAAGATGGCTGACCTTCCATTATCCAGTTTAAGACTTCATCGCCCAGCCTTCTATTTGACTGGGGTGGACTGCTTTGGCCCATACCTTGTCAAGATGGGGCGGCGTACAGAGAAACGGTGGGGGATCATCTTCAAATGCCTAATGACCCACGCAGTCTACCTTGATCTGCTTGCCAGCATGGACACTGACTCATTCCTGATGGGACTGCGTCGTTTCATCTCGAGACGTGGGAAGCCCTTCGAACTACCCTCGGATCAAGGTACCAACTTCAGAGGTGGTAGCTCTGAACTCCAGGAGGCTTTCAATGCACTCGGCCCAACTGAAGTCACAGATGGCCAGCCAGCAGATTCATTTTCGTTTCAACCCTCCACAGGCACCACATTTCGGTGGTTCCTGGGAACGGGAGATTCGTTCCATCAAGTCTGCGCTGCATACCATTCTCGGCTCGCAGCATGTCACCGAGGAAGTCTTTAGGGCGATACTCAGCGAGGTAGAGAGCATCATCAACTCTAAGCCGCTAGGTTATGTCTCCTCAGACGTGGCAGACGCTGATCCGATCACTCCCAACATGTTGTTGATGGGGCGGCCTGATTCCGGTATGCCACAGGTCGTCCACCCAGAAGCAGAACTCCTGAGCCGTCGTAGGTGGAGACAATGTCAAGCCTTGGCGGATCAATTCTGGATCCACTACATCCGGAATTATCTACCTTCACTCCAGATGCGGCACAAATGGCAGCAGGAAAGAGATGAGTTGACTGTTGGCACTATCATTCTCATTGTGGACCAGCAGCTCCCTCGTGCCCTATGGCCAGTTGGTAAGGTCATCCAAGTCATCCCTGCAGCAGATGGCAGGGTTCGGACCGTTCAGATACAGGTTGGAGACAAGACATATACACGACCAGCGGAACGACTTATCAGACTTCCAGCTCTTCCACCGGAGTCTACTGCCTGACCTTCCTAAGTGAAGTGCACCTTTGCTCCGCAAAGTTGGGGGCGGCTGTACAAAAGGCCAGCCAGTCGGCAGAACTCACGAATGGAGCCACATCTGCTGAGTAAGATATCAGCATACTGCTTCCGTTTAGCCAATGAGCAGTGAGGTAACCCATTCTCTTCACCAATCAGAAGACACAATTCTATCTCATCATTACGCACACGTTGACGCAGAGAGTTCAGTCGGAGCTGCAGGTGGGAAGAGTCAGCAGAGTTTTACTCACCGTGTGAATTTTCGTTCCTTCTAATGCTGTTAGCTGTGTGCGTCCATGAGACTATAAGTTTCTGTGTTTTATCGGGTTTGTTCTTTGCTGTGGCCATTATCCTCCTTTGTTTAAATCCTTGGCGCACACTTTGTTTACCGAATGTTACTGCCGTTTACTGCGAAGCAGCCTCTGCCGTGCGGTCATTAAGGGACCATCACTATTTTCTCATGTTAGCTCTAGTGTAAAGTGCCTAGTTAGGATTTATGTAAATAGTAAAATTAGCATTTGTTGATACTCCCTTATTTTGGTTGAATGTTCCACTATCCAGTATTGTTTGTATTGTTGTATTACACATTTAATTCACTCTGTTCACATAATTATGGAAGACTTTTATGTTCTTTCCAACAGAAACCACACCATCACTCACCACACGGCATATAGCATTTTACAGCCTTTTAAATCCCCTCACTCACATTATGGTTGTGTGCTTCGGATTCTTGTTAAATAAATGAGTGAACGACAGATACCTGAGTGGCAGTGGATTTTGTGGATACGTCATCTGTTCTTATCGGACAACCCTGTTGAGATTGTGGATTCATAGAGTCAGCACCTTATCATCTACATCATTCATAGTCAGGAAGTCAAGTCCATCCCTCTTAAAGTGAGCTCCTCCATTACAGCAGCGTTGAGCTCGATTTTGCAAAATAAACGGGAAGTTTGTTGCAAAAATGTAGGCCTTTGCGGTCTACGTCGGCTGGGTCCTTCGAAGACCGAGAAGGCCGGAAGTGTGAGGCTGTGAAATGGGACAGTCTTTCCCTCAGATTTGCATCACCGCTGTCTCGGTGGAGTTTAATAAACTCAGCCATCTGCGCCTTGCTATCTAAAATATAACAGGACACTGGCATAAATTCTCGACTGTCTCACACTTCTGTTCAGTTTTCTGTTTGACGTTTATTCAGCTGTGTGAAAATCCTGGAGGAACTCACCCGGGGGATTAATAAAGTTTTATTTTATCTAATCTAATCTAATAACTTTGATCTCAGCCAAACTGATTTACTCCGGAACAAATGAAACATCGAAAAAAGCCAAACAATTACATTTTTAAGTTATCCAAGTTACTTATATATCATGTTTAACCTGAGTAGCGAAAGACCGCAGACGTCTGAAAACGATGAAGCCGGGAGTCCGCTGCTCTCGCCGGCTCGAGTGACCATTGTCACATGTGTTATGGATTTTGCATGTGATTTGGAGTTTGTACGTGGTTTTTGGAGTTCGTACGTGCTTTGGAGTTCGTACGTGCTTTGGAGTTTGTACGTGCTTTGTCTCTCGGGGCCACCGTACAACAGGAGAGGGAGAGAGATAAGAAAGGAAATTATGTTAAAAACAGCTTTAACTGTGTTTTTCGTCTCATGTTTCCTGGGACGTCTGGATTGTGAAGGTAAGATGTGTTTAAATTCAATTGAACTTTCTGACAGGAAATAAGAGTCCACTTATTTTTTTTGGTCAAAAGTGGAAGCTGACATTACCTCTTCTTGAACATCGACTTCCTTTTTATTCCATCAAAAGAAGGTGTGTTAATATTTTTTTATTTTTTTTATTTTTTACCATCAATTAGAATAATAATACACATAAACATTCTGATTATAAATGATGAGAAGATTTTAAGAGTTTTGTTTTTCATAAATCATGCAAGAAAAAACATTTAATTGTACAGTAAATATACAGTACAGGTTCAGTACATCAGACACAGCCTCTCAACTGTCTGGCTTTATGTACAGGTCCTTTAGAAATAAACTATGAAATGAATAACATGCCATCCCTGTCTGGTACACAAAAATCAACAGATTTCTGTATTAAACACCCTAAACGTGACTGAGAAGTACAAACAGGTTTGTATACCTTTTGTTAGTATTTTGTACAGACTCTGGGCTTTTCCACAAAGTATCTGAAGCCATTTTACCCATTTTAGCTCAACAAAACCCACACTGCAGTATACAAATGTTGAAAAGGTGTATAAACTCTGAACTTAGACTCTCAAAACCCACTGAAGTTTATACTTTAACATACTGGATGTGTAAACTTATCTGGGTGTGAATGTAACACAGCAAAGCTTTTTTAATTCGTTTATAAATTCCCACAGACTTAACACAAAAATAGAAACTCAAGTTTCTGATATTTGAAGCACAATAATAAGTGTGTTTAAATTATTGGATGCATATAATCTTTATGACTGACCTGTTTTCTTCTGATTTTAGAGCTAACAGTCAAACAAGCAAAGGATGTAACTCTGGAGTGTTACGGCCACAATGACACTAACATAATGATAAGCTGGCAAAAGCCTGACCAGCAGTCAGAGTATTATGTGTTTTGCTTCAGTGATGAACAAATTCACAAAGACAAACAGCATGAATCATTTAAATATCGAGTGGAGCAGATAGAGATAAAGAATGGAATCTTTTCTGTTCTCAAAAAGGTCGCCATGAACGACGCTGGAAAATATGAATGTTATCCTGGATAGCACAGAGACAGAGACCTCAGCTTTTGAAGAGCATCAACCTGGAGGTAAAAGAAGAAGGTGAGTGTGAAGTTGAGCTGCTTCCTGGTTGCTGATGTTTGTTTCTAAAGATGTTGTTGATGAGACTTTGTAGAAAGCAGCTGGTCTGAGTGATGTGATCAGAGTGCAGTAGATAATGTCTGACAGCAGTTTGAAGAGGAAATGGATTCTGTTCTGTTCTTCACTCATCACCTACCTGACAGCTGACACCTCACACCTGTTTCTCACCTGCAGGTCAACCAGGAGGACAAAATGGAGGGAAGGAGGATGAGAAGAATGACGGAGGTCAGAATTGTGGACTTACAGTTGGTCTGTCAGTTTCTGCCATGCTTCTTGTTGTTTTTGTTGCTGGTTTTGTGTTGTACAGAAATCGTAGAGGGCGACCTCTTCCAAATAATCCAATGATTTGAAATGTGTTCAGTGGGTTCATAACTGAACTGTGAGTCCTGCTGCTGTTCCAGGTTATTATCAGTAAGTTCAGCATTCAGACTGACAGAGGAGAGACACAGGAAACAATACAAAATTAAACTTTGCATTGTTTTGCATAATTATCTGATCTCTGATGTTCCTGCTCACCATACCAACAAACTGCCTAATTTTAAAAAATAATTGTCAGTTTAAATCATTATCTGTTGTTTATAAAATATTTTATTAGATTTTATAAAAAAAATTAATAATGTATTTGAATTGTTACAGATTATGTAGTGATTTTTTAAAAAGTTTGTAACACATAAACATGTATCACTCAGCTACTGTACTGGTGTGAATGTTATATTCTCTTATTACACACACGCACACACACACACACACACGTGCTAGGTTAGGCTACACTCTATGGTAGGAGAGCCAAA